GTACAGGTCTCAGGACAGGGATCTTGCTGTGGAAGACAACAGGGCATTATGATACAAAGCAGAGACCACATGATCATTGAGAGCCTCAAACTGGTAACTGGAACCCGTGGTTCTGGTAAGTAGAACACTAGAAATGACGGAACAATATGCGTGGTGTCGAGTTGGCAACGACAGATTTACCAACCAAACGGTGTTAACAGGTTCAAGCTTCCAGTCACACGATTTAGCAGACTGATAGTATACCGCTTAGGTGCTTAATATTATACAACTAAAACGTTTGCGTGTGTGTATTGGAAGTTCATTTTTTTAATCTTCTGTTCAGCAGCCCGGTGGTGAGGTGGCTTACATTTTAACAATGAAAAACTGGTTGAGATCTTTACTGGGGTGCATGGATGACTAGTATATATGTCCAATTATCGGTTCATCGGATCTGGGTACATTCGACTCCAGAGCAGAACTTTTCTGTTCGGATCTGGACTGTTTCACCAACACCATCCCACATTTAACAGTATCAATCATTAAAAATCCACAAAGAAACCTGGTTTCACCACATACCTGAAAGCTTACTGCTTGTCCTGGTAATGGACAATCATCAGCAAGGGATCCGTCGAAGGCCACGTTGGTACGAACGACAAACACCACTTTAGATGTCTAGAAATGAAAAAGACGAAAGAGACAGGACAATTTTGGGACCGAAAATCACACGAATCATTTCGATATACTAGATTTTCCAAATACTCATCTCCGGATAGATTTTGTCGCTCGGAGAGCGACAAAGAACACAGCTAGGAGCGTGAGGGAATAAACTGAAATTGGGGATATAATATCCTATTCTTTAAATGCAGGATCAACAAGCCGGTTCTAGCTTGAATGTTCCCTTTACCATCCCATGTACAGTATACCCTTGGATCATAAGATTTGACCCCATTTAATGTACTCACTCTTGTGTAATAGCATATATATATATTACAATAAGTAGTATGTGAATGACTGAACAAAATTTACCTGGAAGCACACGATCGGTTTCGCGGTTCTTACCGCTCATCAGACATGCGTATTAGGTAATCTTTTGTCAGTTCATTCATATACTTGTAACCAGGAAGTGTATTGGAGAATCAATGTTGTGATTCGATGTTTTGTAAGTAGGTTAGATGCTACTAACCGCAACAAACGATATACATATATATATATATATGGTGGTTGGATGACTTTATTGTTGTCTAGTGTCTTGAATAACTGTGTATTCTGAACAACCCCCCCCCTCCTGTGCTCGTTCATCCGAAATCTCATGGGTTGTCCTTATCAAAGCAGTTTTCTGGGATAATGCGGACTCCCTGACACAAAGCAGAGAGCAATCAGTTTATTTCGTTTCGTTATCCAGAATGGATGGATGAAACGCGGGCGCTGTGGAGATTTTCAACCGGCAATATCGATAAGCATGAATACAAAACGGGAACGCAAGACCAACGACAAGCAAAAATTGAAATGCAATTAAAAGAAAAGAAATTCGAAAACATTTCGCGAGGACTCGTACTGTAAACACAAAGTTTTTTTAACTGTTTTCTGGCATTCTTATTTGAAAGTATTGGACAGTGATCTCATCCCTGTTGGGACTGATCAACGATGCATACTTTTGGTGTCACAACACGGACTGTCACCACGTACTTTCAGGTCGGGAGTTAAAACCCCCACTTAGAGAGCGGAATCCGCACCGAACACCATAAACAGTGATTGGTGTCCGTACACATCGAATGGGTTATCCCAAATACAGCATTCTGAGCGCGGTTTTTTGTTTACCGCAATACCATCATTTCAAACCGAATTCTCGGATTTTGACCGAGGCATCTTCTGAGATCGCACTGAAGTCTCTTTTACACAAGTCATCTTCAGTTGTTGCATTGATTGCAGCAGTCGGAATTGAATCTTGTGCTTTCAGCGTAATCTTCTGGAATGAATTGAATCCAGCGAAACTATTTTTTGCAGTTGTTTCTGATGCTGTCCTATAAAATTCTCTGCAAAACAAGATCCATCACATACTGGTAACCTGCTCGTGAAAGAAAACTCCAACTATCTGTATCCCGAACGTTCCAAACCAAACGACTAGTCCTTAATCTCGCGGTTTCTCAGAAACGATGCGTTGTTAGGGATTAGTAGCTACTCCAACGAGGCGGCATTTACTGGATCCACACACACGAAGACGTAAACTATACAATTCCCGTATGGTTGAATTGATTCAAGTTTGATTGGTCTGACACTCCGAATACTGCCAAAACAGACGGCGTTCCGCCAAAAGGCAAATGACGGACATCACATCACGCTCTTGAACCAGATTTTTTATTGCACAATGTGAATTACAGTAAAAGGGGGAATACCCAGAGACAAATAGTATACTGTGAAAGGGAGCGTAGGGGAACATTCACGTAAGATCCAGTTTATTGATTCTGCGTTTAAAAAGTGTAAGATTGTAAGTTGGGGGAAAAGCAGCAAGTGGGAGGATTCCATTTCGCCTGTTCACCGAGCTTAGCGATTTGTTTGCAAACGTTTCATCACCAGCCGAGGTGACACCATCAGTGCTTATGAAGTGGCCTGATGATGTCACCTCGGCTGGTGATGAAACGTTTGCAAACAAATTGCCAAGCTCGGTGAACAGGCGAAATGGAATTCAGTTCACCCAAGCTACGAGAACCGATCTTCCATATTTTGCCAAGTGGGAGGGTGTTCCTCAACTTGGCAGTTCGGAGGAAGAACAAAACATCGGAGTAGAGAAGTACGATATTTGGGAACAGAAATTTAATTAGGATGACTAGATGCCTGTGTACGGGATGGGCGGGTAAAAGTTATGGGAAGAGGAACTGCGAAGCAAGTTGCGAAA